AAGGATGTGGCATGAATGGTGTACTTTCTGTCCAGTTCCATTCACGGTCTAGTGGTGAAGGGTGGACCTGTGACATGGGGCATGGGGGAGCAGGAGGGGGGACAGGAGTGGAGGCAGTACATGGTTGAGGGGTTGCCGGGCTGTCCTTTGTCTGCCCACCCATCGCACCATGCGGCCTAGGCACCATCCCAGCATATTCTCCATGATCAGTTTCACTGTCAGTGGCTGGGGTTTTCGATCGTGACCTGGCACAACCCTTGCAGACTTCATATGGCACACTGCCTGAACGTAGGCGACGATGCCTAAAAGTACGCATCACAAGTGAATAATGTATATCACTATCACTCGACGAATCCTCTAAGGGCATAAAATCGATCTCGTCATCACTTACATCACCTTCACTATCGTCAACACCAAAACCGCAGGAAAATGATAATTTCCTCTTGCATTCATTCATTCAATTCATTCAGAGTTTATTCTCTATAAGGATTACAATGCTGAGTTTACAGAATTTTGTTATTGTGTGGTTTACATGTAGTAAAATAATGATTACAGAGTGTACCACTAGAACACCTAGCATGGCTAGGCATTTCAGGCAGACTTAATTTAATTCTTAATTTTAAAATATTACAAATTATGAGGTAAGTTGGTATTATGGCTAAGTGACTAAATACTAGTTTGTGAGTTTAGCAATGTGAATGCTTTTGTTTTGGCACAGTACATAGTTTCAGTATTGGAGTATCACAGGATTCATTATTTTATTTGAGATTAATATTTCTGTTTATGGTCAAATGGGTGAGTGAGTGTAAGTGTGAACCACCAGGTGGTATTCGTGTAGTTAGTTGACGGGGTGTATCAGGGAGATAAGATGTTTTCTAATGGTAGTTTTGAAGGTGATGAATGTGTCTGCAGTTCTAGAGTTCTCAGGTAGGGTGTTCCAGATTTTAGGGCCTTTGACATGCATTGAATTTTTGTAAAGGTTTAGTCGGACACGGGGAATGTCGTAGAGATGTTTGTATCTGGTGTTGTGCCTGTGGGTTCTGTCACAACTATCAAGAAAGCGTTTTAGGTCAAGGTTGATATTGGAGTTTAACCCTTCGACTGTCGCAACCCCCAATCCTGAGGTGTCTCCTGGTGTCGCAAAATTTCAAAAAAAAAAAAATAATTATTTTTTCTTATGAAATAATAGAGAATCTTTTCCTGATTGTAATGACACCAAAAAAACGAAATTTGATGGAAAACTGACGGAATTATGCTCTCGCAAAGTTAGCGACCTCAGCGCTGTTTACAAATCGGCGATTTCGCCCACTTTGAGCCCAATTTTCAGCTAATTCCATTATTCCAGTCGCCCAAACTCATAGCTATTTCTTTAGAGCTCTATTTTTTCTATCGATTGAGTACAAGAAACTGCCCATTTACTGATTTCAACTACCTAATAATGTGGTCAGAAATTTGCAATTTGGCCAATTTCACGAAAACTAAAAAATATGACAATTTCAAAATAAGGTCCAGAATGAACAATGCAGACATTCCTGGCTCTAAAATAACATTTTCTTTGCTCATCAGTCATGTCTCCAGGCCCCTCTAATATTACTCTTGCTTTCTATTTTGAATTTTTATTCAAACAAAAAATAGAAGACTTACTATTATGCAGACTACTGCAATACTGTAATAATTGTATAAATAACATCAACGCATTCATGACTGCATATTAGAATGGCTAGTTGGACATTTATTGGACAATGGCATCATTTGTTTACTTTTGAACATTGGCAAAAATCAAACATTTCCCCAACTTTGAGCTCCATTTCTAGGTTCTTTTTATTTTATTTTTTTTATTATCACACTGGCCGATTCCCACCAAGGCAGGGTGGCCCGAAAAAGAAAAACTTTCACCATCATTCACTCCATCACTGTCTTGCCAGAAGGGTGCTTTACACTACAGTTTTTAAACTGCAACATTAACACCCCTCCTTCAGAGTGCAGGCACTGTACTTCCCATCTCCAGGACTCAAGTCCGGCCTGCCGGTTTCCCTGAACCCCTTCATAAATGTTACTTTGCTCACACTCCAACAGCACGTCAAGTATTAAAAAACATTTGTCTCCATTCACTCCTATCAAACACGCTCACGCATACCTGCTGGAAGTCCAAGCCCCTCGCACACAAAACCTCCTTTACCCCCTCTCTCCAACCTTTCCTAGGCCGACCCCTACCCCGCCTTCCTTCCACTACAGACTGATACACTCTTGAAGTCCTACAGACTGATACACTCTTGAAGTCATTCTGTTTCGCTCCATTCTCTCTACATGTTCTTTTTATAGTAAAATCAATCAAAATCACCTCTATTTCTATAATATGTTTTCCATTGTATCAAATGAGACCAAGAAAACGAGAATACAACAATAAATACTATACGAAAATAGACCACAAAGTCGGCATTTTAATTAAAAAAACGGTCGGAGTTTTTTTTTTCTCATTATGCACTGCGTGCTCCAGGATTTTTTTTATATGGTGCACACTGACCACACAGACCCATTCTCTCAAATGTGGGCCTACCAGCTTTCTCCTGCTTGATTTGAAGCCGCTAGAATTTATGAGTATATATACGTCAAACACGGTACCTCGTAAGACGTATATATACAGCCGCGACAGTCAAAGGGTTAAGGTCCTGTAGATGTAGATTGCACAGTAGTAAGTGTGGATGTACTGAACAGGGAGTAAGTTTAGATCTATGAAGAGGGGGGGGGGTGTTGCCAGGGATGGGATTTAGTGATTATTCTTACTGCAGCTTATTGTTGGGTTATTATTGGCTTTAGGTATGTTGCTGCAGTTGATCCCCAAGCACAAATAGCATAGGTGAGGTATGGATAAATAAGTGAGTGGTATAGTGTGAGAAGGGCATTTTGCGGCACGTAGTATCATATCTTGGAGAGGATCCCAACCGTTTTGGATACTTTTTTGGTTATGTGTTGGATATGGGTGCTGAAATTCAGGTTGTTGTCAAGGTATAGGCCTAGGAATTTGCCCTCATTATGTCTGGTAATTAGAGTGTTGTCGATCTTAATGTTAATTTGTGCATCTCCTGCTCTGCTACCAAACATAGTTGCCTTTTAGTAGTAACACTAGCCACACCAGAGGTACTGGGCTGAGGGTCTGGTGTGGCCACACTGGTCACACCAGAGGTGATAAGCTGAGGGTCACTTGGGTTATCATCAATATTTTCACTAATCCCTTGATCATTAGTGGCCACATCAATGTCAGATCCACTAAACCCGTGTTCTGTATATCACTTTCCTTGAATAATATGACGAAGTGTGAGTGAATCACAGGGGTTTGTCATGGTGTTGACCCAAGATGGTGCTTAAACTAACTGGTGGTACCGGAGGGTCCCCGATTTTTTTCATACTGCATATACTAAGTACGTACTCAGTCCCATTCTCTTTTGTCTAGGCCATTCAGGCCTGTCTTGCCAAAGTTGAAGGCAGGAAAAATAAAACGTTGATCTACGTTTGGAGCATTAGCGGTTCTAACATAGATCTACATTTTGATAGTTTAAGGGTTAATATGATGGTGTAAATATGTTGTTAGGCCTTTATATGTATTTAACCCCTTCAGGGTCCAAGGCCAAAATCTGAAGTGGTGCCCCAGTGTCCAAGAATTTTCAAAAAAAAAATTTGTTATTTTTTCTTGTGAAATGGTAGAGAATCCTTTTGTGAAGGTAATAAAACAAAAAGTACGAAATTTGATGGAAAATTGACGAAATTATGCTCTCACAAATTTTGATGTGTCAGCGATATTTACGAATCGGCGATTTTGCTGACTTTGACTCCCATTTTAGGCCAATTACATTATTCCAGTCGACCAAATTCTTAGCTATTTCACTAGTATTACTTCTATTCAATCGATTGAGCACAAGAAATCGCCAAGTCAACTGTTTCAACTACAAAATAATGTGATTGGAAATTGGTAATTTGGCCAATTTAACACAAAGTTCAAAATATTCCAATTTCAAAATAGGGTCCAGAATAAACAATGTAGGTATTCCTGGGACTAAACTAACATTTCCTCTGTTCATTAGTTACGTTTTGAGGCTTTACAAATAAATTCCAATTTGATTTCTTATTCACATAATGAATTTTTATTCACACCAAAAAATAGATTTACTGTTATGCAAAATTGTAATAATTGTATAAATATCATCACCACATTTGTAAATGTATATTAGACCCACCAGCTCGTGTGTATTAGACGTGTGAGGTCGTTTGTTTACTCTTGAACATCGGCAAAATTTTAACATTTCCGCTACTTTGAGCTCAGTTTCAAGCCATTTCCAGTGCTAAAACCAATCAAAATCATCACTATTTCTGTAATATGTCTTCCATTCTATCAATTGAGACCAAGAAATCGCAAATACAACTATAAAAAACATACGAAAAAACACTGCAAAGTCACTGTTTTAATCGAAAATCATGGTCTCAGTTTTTTTTCTCTCATTATACACAGTGTGCTGCAGGATTTGTTTTATGTGGTGCACACATACCACATAGATGTATTCTCTCATATCTAGGCCCAAATGTACCACTCACAGTTTATCAGAGTGAGTTGAGCTCATGACGTAGATCTACGGTTTGGACCCTGAACGTAAAGCCGTAGATCTACGGGAAGGACCCTGAAAGGGTTAAAAGTGAAAGAAAAAAGGTGATTCACTTTACGGCAGTAGCCTGGAACCTAACCTGCCATATAATCGGGGCTCTCCTGTACTGAATCCTCTGGAAATAGATGACTGATAAATAGTAAATTAAATTTCCTATATGTTTTACCTTTTGCCTGCTGTGTGACCTTTATGGGTTTAGTGCTTAGTTATGATTATAATAATTGCCCTCCTCATTTAAATGGTCTTGAGGTGAACAGGAAAATATTGCCTCTGCCCTCCAGTTTTCCTGATGAGTTTTAGTATTTTCTTTAATTATAATGTACTCTATACTAAAATTGTATGCAGCCTCGACCAAAAGGATGCAGTCATGAGTGTGGGAAAGCGTGTCATCCAGAACCATGTGCACCTTGTGAAAAACTTTTGAGAATAAAGTGCCACTGTAGCCTGAGCCAGCTTTATGTAAAGTGTCAAGTCTGGAATACTGCCACACAAGTGGAAGAAATGCAAAGTTGCAAAAACCAATGTAACAAACTGGTAAGTCAAAAGAGTTAAGATTTCTGTCACACTTCATATGAATTATTTTAATTGTTTCTTTTATATTAATTGAATGGAATATAAGGGTAGGATTAATAATAGGGCAAGCTTGGCCTAAATGCTTGTTACTGAATTGGACAGAAGTATTATTTTCATGAGAGCTAGTGTTTTTGTGGGTAATGCCTGGTTTGATAAAAAAAAAAATTAACTCATATGAGTCATTCAGTGCTGTACTCCAATCTATGTTCTGTATTTGGGTGCACATGCCAAGCATGATGAACACATCATCATGCTCAGGTAGCATTACAAGCAAATAATGTAATGAATTGCTAGTTTTGTTTGTATTTTAGTTTTTATTTTCACTGCATATATATTTCTGTATATATGGTTAATAAGAGGTTTAGAGTAAAGATATTAATCTTACAGATTGTAATTAATTTTTTCAAAATTCATATTTTTCAGATTTTATGTGCATAGTATTTACATTGGAATCTTGTATGAAATGATTTTGCTTCCCTTGAACAAGTTTAGCTTTAATAGATCTTGTTTAAAATATTGCTTTCAGATATCCTGCAATCACCGGTGCATGAAGGATTGTCATAGTGGCCCCTGCAGTGAACCACAAAGCTGTCACAAACGTGTAACAGTCCGCTGCTTATGTAAGAGGCAGAGGAAAGAAGCTTTCTGTTACCTTGTTTTTGCAGGAAAGGTCACTCTGGATTGTAATGACATTTGTGTTACAGAGATGGAAGAGAAGAAAAAGGTGTGTTCTCTATGTATTACTGTACATTGGTTGTGTTTTTCATGATAATGCACAGATTTTTTTTTAACACGTCGGCCATTTCCCACTGAGGCAGAGTGACCCAAAAAGAAAGAAAAAAACTTTCATCATCCAGCACTCTCACCATCATTCATACATAATCACCTGTAGATTGTACTACAATGATATTTCAGAGTGTCCTAGGTTTTGCCTACAATTTGTGGGTTGTGAGTTCCAACTACAGTGGACCCCTGACATTCGATGGCATCGACATTCGATAAATCCAACATTCGATGCATTTTAACACAAAAATTTTGCCTCGACATTCGATGGAAAACCCGACATTCAATACGATTTGTACGAGACATGTCCATGTGTGGCCTGAACTGCCCCGTGTGTGCCAATGTATACAAGCCAGTCAGTGTGCGAGCATCTAAGGATACATTCGGTACATTCCATATTATCCATATTATCACTGTTTTTGGTGCTTGTTTCTGCAAAATAAGTCACCATGGGCCCCAAGAAAGCTTCTAGTGCCAACCCTGTGGTAAAAAGGGTGAGAATTAGTATGGAAATTAAGAAAGGTTTTGAAGGGTTTGGGGCTAACCCTGAGAAGCCAATGCCAGTTGTGGAATCCATTGTGCCTACTTCAAAGATTAAGGAAATGTGTGCAAAGTGGGTTGAACTGCAAACCTTTATTGGTGAAAATCACCCTAACACAGCTATTGCAAGCCGTGCTGGTGATTATTACAATGACAATGTTGTGGTCCATTTTAGACAAATCTTAAAGGAACGGGAGGTACAGAGCTCTATGGACAGATATGTTGTGTGACAGAAGTCCAGTGACTCTCAAGCTGGTCCTAGTGGCATTAAAAGAAGAAGGGAAGTAACCCCGGAAAAGGACTTGCTACCTCAAGTCCTAATGGAGTGGGATTCCCCTTCTAAACAATAGGTTCAACACTCTCCCCTCCTCCCATCCCATCAATCATCACCAGATCTTCATTAAAGGTAAGTGTCAATTATTCTATTGTTATTATTCCATTGTTATTGTTGTTGTTGTAATTATTCTATTGCATTAAACTTAATATTTCATGTGGTAAAAGTTTTTTTTTCATACTTTTGGGTGTCTTGCATGGATTAATTTGATTTCCATTATTTCTTATGGGGAAAATTGATTCGCTGTATACAGTGGATCCCCGGTTTGCGATATTAATCCGTTCCTGAGAGCTCATCGTAACCAAAAATATCAGAAAGCGAATCAATTTTCCCCATAAGAAATAATGGAAATCAAATTAATCCGTGCAAGACACCCAAAAGTATAAAAAAAAAAATTTTACCACATGAAGTATTAAGTTTAATGCACACAAACTGAAGAAGACGTGCACAGTTTGTAGTACTCTACTAACAATTGAATACATGACACTTACCTTTAATGAAGATCTGGTGATGATTGATGGGATGGGAGGAGGGGAGAGTGTCGAAGTTGGTAATGTTTAGAAGGGGAATCCCCTTCCAGTAGGACTTGAGGTAGTAAGTCCTTTTCCGGGGTTACTTCCCTTCTTCTTTTAATGCCACTAGGACCAGCTTGAGAGTCACTGGCAGCCTCGCCATGCCTAATCACACTATGTATGCCACTACGATTCTTAAATCTTTCAAACCAACCTTTGCTGGCCTTAAATTCACTCACATCACCACTAGTTGCAGGCAATCTCTTTACCAAATCGTCATGCAACTGCCTAGCCTTTTCATAAATGATCGCTTGAGAGATGCTATCTCCTGCTATCTGTTTTTCATTTATCCACACCAATAACAGTCTCAACATCATCTAACACTTGCGGTCGCTGTTTTGTAATCACAGTTGCACCTTTTGCAACAACAGCTTCCTTGATTGCCGTTTTCCTGGTCACTATAGTAGAGATGGTTGATTGGGGTTTTGTATACAACCTGGCCAGCTCCGACACACGCACTCCACTTTCGTACTTTGCAATTATCTCTTTCTTCATTTCAATAGTCATTAGCACCCTTTTTCTCGAAGGGTTGGCACTAGAAGCTTTCTTGGGGCCCATGGGGACTTATTTTGCAGAAACAAGCACCAAAAACACTGTGATAATATGGAATGTACCGAATGTATCCTTAGATGCGAGCACACTGGCTGGCTTGTAAACACTGGCACACATGTGGATACATCTCGGACAAATCATATACCGGGTTTTTTAACGGGAACCGAGGCAAAATTTTTGCTATATAATACATCACATACCGGATTTATCAGATACCGATGGCATCGCGAACCAGGAGTCCACTGTACATCTTATGAGCCAGTGTTTCCGACATATTAATATGCATAAATTCTAGCGGCTTCAAATCAAGCAGGAGAAAGCTGGTAGCCCCACTTGTGAGAGAATGGGTCTGTGTGGTCAGTGTGCATCACATAAAAAAAAATCCTGCAGCACGCAGTGCATAATGAGAAAAAAAAAACTATCGTTTTTTTGGATTAAAACGCCGACTTTGAGGTGTATTTTCGTATAGTATTTATCGTTGTATTCTCATTTTCATGGTCTTGCCTGATTAAATGGAAAACATATTACAGAAATTGAGATGATTTTGATTAGTTTCACGATGAAAACGACCTTGAAATTGAGCTCAAAATAGCGGAAATGTTCGATTTTTACCAATGTTCAGGAGTAAGCAAATCACACCACACGTCCAGTACACATCAACTGGGGAGTCTAATATTCTTTCACTAGTGCACTGATATTATTTATATCATTTTTACAATAATGCGGTAGTCTGCATAACAGTAAATTTTGTATTTTTTGTTTGAATAAAAAATCAAAATAGAAAGCAATAGTAATATAAGAGGAGCCTAGAGACGTGACTAATGAACAGAGGATATGTTATTTTAGTGCCAAGAATGTCTACATTGTTTATTCTGGACCCTATTTTGAAATTGGCATCTTTTTTAATTTGAGTGAAATTGGCCAAATTGCCAATTTCTGATCACTTTATTGGGTAGTTCAAATCGGTAAATGGGCAGTTTGTTGTACTCAACTGATAGAAAAAATGGAGTTCTAAAGAAATAGCTAAGAGTTTGGTGAACTGAAACAATGGAATTGGCCAAAAACAGGGCTCAAACTCGGCGAAATTGCCAATGCGTATATGTCGCCGAGACCGCTAACTTCGCGAAGCATAATTCCGTGAGTTTTCGACCAAATTTTGTACTTTTGGTGTCATTACCATCGGGAAAAGATTCTCTATCATTTCATAAGAAAAAATAATTTTTTGTTCCAAAACTTTTGCGACATAGAATGACAGTTTCAGAAAGGGGCCTGCGACAGTCAAAGGGTTAATAGCGCAAAAAGAAATATTATACGAGGTAGTTGGTACTAGCTAGTAAAAGATGGTACAAGGAATTGCACAATAGTGTAGTAGGAACATACACTAATTTGATATTTGTAAATTGGGAGTAAAGGGAAAATTGGGTAAGATTGTGTAAAAAAAATATTAAGGGAATTATAACAGTGCTTTAAATGGGAATAATTGGTAATATAGATATTACTAAAGAGTAAATTTCTTATTAACAAATAATAAACTGTAAATGGGAAATCTGGGAAGATTACACAATTTGAGTCACACAAGGAACTGTGTGAGAAACATGAGACAGTGAGGTGATAAATACTATCCGGGAAGTAATAGTACTACAGGGATTAGTCCAATAATGGCATAATAGCATACACTAATGTAGTATAAAGATTTGGTCACTAATGTTAGTCAGACTCTGTAAGGTTTGCATCACGAAGGAAGTTTGCTACTTCATTTTCATTTGTAATATAGTACACACGGCCTACATTTGTTTTCCTTACTTGAATTTGTCCATCACATACGAAGCACTGGTGAATTTTATCATTATTCTCACGTTTCAGTTTTCTTACTCTGTACAGGAGATTCTGACATTTTCTTGCGAGACACTCATTTATGTATACATTTTTTTTTGCTTTAATAGACGAACTTAGATCTTTTTTTTTGTCTTGTGTGTGAAATCTAAGCATAACACTTTTTCTACCTTGGTTCCCTAGTAACCATAATTCTTTTATTTCTAATGCTGGCACACTAACCTTTAGGTGGTCATATGTGATCCGAAGAGTTGTATCGTTGCATTTGGCATGGTTTAGTTCACTAGGAAAGAGTGGACTGTTAATTACTACTGTATCAGATAACTTATCTTGCTCTGTTTTGCCATCTTGGTAAGCAAGATATTTAGTCAGTTGGGTATCCATGTTGATTTTCCAGTCCTTGATTGCATCTCCGCCCTTTGTGTTTAGGGATGTTATTTGACCTGTGTGACTGGCTATAACTGCTTGGAGGGTCTTGCCAAAATCAGTCATTCCAGCTGATGTTAGCTGTTGTTCAAGGCTGTTGATCTTATTTTCAAGGTGGGATAACTTAGATTCATGGTTTGTTATTATTGTCTGATGATTCATGTTTTCAGTATGAAGATTCATGTTATCTGCTGTTAGGGTGATGTATTTTAGAGTGTCAAGATCATTGGTCATACTTGGGAGCGTATCAGATGGGTTAAATCCTATGAAGGCAGTAGAGGTAGAGAGGGAGTCAGTCATGGTTGATGTTGTTGTTGACGAGTCGCCTTGGTTGGTGGGTGAGGGGGAGTCGGCCATGTTTGTTGTTATTGATGCGTCGCTCTGGGTGGTGAGGGGTGTGGATGGGGCTCCGGCGTCCTGCTGGGTCGTCAAATGGAATAGTCGATTTCTAGGTGCTATCTTGCTGTTCTTGGTGTTGTTTCTTCTATGATTTGATCTCATAGTAGTACAGGAGTTGCTGTGGTAAGATGGAGAAACTATATTAGTTAAGAGCTTGGAGTAGGTAGTCGTCTGGCAGCGGGGCTGTGCTTGGGGTTTGAGGGGCATTCTTCACTTCGAAGTAACCCCCAGAGAGGGCTTTGCTACCTGAAGGAGATTCCTCTTCCAAACAATAACTCCTCCCTA